GCGTGTGTGCGCACGTGTGTGTCTTGTGTGTGTCCAAAGCTCGCAGCTTTGGGGCTGGGATGTCGGATGCGCCTCGAGCAGAGCAGAGGATATGGCATAAAGGGCTGCAGCCCCGAACCCTTTGCCCTCAAGCCTGTCGTTGCGAACTTCAGAGCGTTGTCAAAATCAAAGACTAGGACCTAGGAGTGATTCTCAAGGAACTACTGAAAGCTTCTCAAAGGTCAGTCTCCATTTGTTCAGGACATTCATCCGAAGTGAGCGGATCTTCAGTGTCATTTATCAAGAGACCTGCAACCCATCTAGTCCTAAAGTGCCAGCTTTTGACTGCTCTTTGTTCGCACCTGCGAGGCAGTGAACCCTCATTACCAGGCTTGGCTGGAAGACAAGCGCACTACTACCCTGAAGGTGCCCTTGGCCGAAGCGATTTTGCGGGTTTCAGGGAAGTTAATGGAATGACTGCGTAGATTCAGGCGGTCCCATTTGCTCTCAGCCACGCTGGGAGTATAGATTGGATGTGCATGCGGGTATTTTGAGATTTTGAGGGACTTGGCATATTGAGACGGTTGGCATCTCCGGCCTTGATGAACTGGGGTAAGTAGGTTGGTGGAAGGCCGAGAGAATGTGACTTTCAGAGCCAGGCAGGCAAGGTGAGAGGAAGAACGAGAGGCTGGCAGAGAGAGAAAGCCCGACCAACATCTCCCAGCTGTGTCTGCATCAGATCATGCCAGAAGTGTCGCGGAATGGTTCTTGATTCAGAGCTTGCCATGACAGTAAGCTTGTGCCACGATGCCAAGCCTCAGAACCCGAAAGCCCCAAGTCTGACTTCAAGTCCCTTAGCTCCCGCTAGTTTGGCTTGACAGCCACTTTGTACCTTGCACGTCCCCCCCCCCCCCCCCCCAACTTGAAAGATGCCGGGTGCGTGCAGGACTTGAACGAGGTTGATCGCTGTTTCGGCTGGGCAAAGTTTGTCCACAAGGCACAGATCCTTGCACCATTGCTTTGGCCCAAGGGATTGGACTTTCGAGTCTCAGCAGAGACTTCCAAAACTCCGGTCTTTCCGACGACAGTCATGTTGTCCCCAGTGCTATCATGCAGAGGACTATGATTAATTATATAAACAACCTTGAAAGTCATACAGGGCTGCAGCTGTCGGACTTGGAGACTACAATTCCAGGTTTCTGGATTCGCGTGGTGATGCCAAAAATCGAAACCTCCACTCATTCGGAAGCCTGGAACGCCAGTGTCAGGTGGATGGCAAGCAGACGGCTGCATCCGCATCATCCTCTGCCGAGTCCAGGGTGGAAGCTTGTCTTTAGGGCGGGTATTGCAGCCCGGGAGGCAGCATCCGCTAAAGCTCGGCATGTGGAGCGAATTGCAGCGAAATGCAAATAAACACAGCAATACAACGCATGAGTGCTAGGACACAGGCAGTCGCGGTTGAGATCTACATGTATGCAAGCATTGCATCATATGCCAGTTGTATTTCCAAGACGAAACGACATGAAATGCTCTTAAATTCACTCCTCCGCGCGCACGCGCATACACATACTGTATATTTGCGTGTGTCCATTATGTACACATTGTACACCTTAATCACTTAATCTCCACATTCATGCACACATCTACGCATATGCAGCTCCTCCGGTGCCTAGGCATAGACATGGGCATAGACGCAGACATGTACATGGATGTGGACGGAGACATAGACACAGACATGTCGAGATTGTCACTGTGTTTCAGCGAACCAAGGAGAAGGTGCACAGGCCCGAGCCTGGCGAGTCAGTCGAGTGGCGTCCAGCCATCATCCGCCTCACGGCCAGTTGATCCTTAAGTTTCTCCCTTAAGTTTGTCACTGCCGCTACTCGTGTTACTATGACGCCCATAAATTTATGATGCCGGTTGCATTCAATCACTGCGCTCATCCTCATTGCAATTTGTGTTTTTGATTCCTGGTGTTTCGATCGACTCTACTGGCATTGTTGTTCAAGTTATCCCTAGAACTTGTACCGTTTTCTTTCAGCATGTTCTTGGCGGTGATGATGATGATGATGACGCTGATGATGAGGATGGTGGTGTGGTGAGGGTGACAATGGTTGTGGTGATCGTTGCGGTGAAGGTACTGAGAATGAAATAGATTAAATAGATGACGTTTAAGTATCATCGCGATGATCGGCCACGGTCTCTTGCATGGGGCAGTTCAGTTGTAGCAAGTTGATTTGAAGACAACTCCTTGTCGGGTGTCGCTGGCGGAAGACCTTGTCTCATGATTGGCCTATTTCGCTTTGTTATTCAGCCGAGTTAGGCGTGGCTCTACACCTTAGACACTCCCGGCAGCTTTAATTGCAAGGTCTTAAGCACAAAATGTATTGCCAAGGAAAGGCGAGGGACGGCAGGAATGACGACTACCAGAACCGCGACTACTTTAGGGTCCAGTGGGTCCACGGCACGCAGGGGCCTCGCTTCCATAGCAGGTGGCAGAGATTGCTTCTTCAGTTGGTGGGCACCATACTTGAAGAAGTAAAAGCCAAGAAAGATCTACCTTTCTCAGATCATCACCGTCAGCATAGCAGTGTGGATCATGATGGCGACGATGGCCATCGTCACGATGACCATGACCAAGCCCAGGGTTAGGATGATGATTATGTTCATGGTGATGCCAAAACAGCCTTGATTCTGACGACGCTACCATTGTTTTGAGACATATCTTGCAGTGCAGGCTTCAGATTCTGTCATTGAGTGCTAGGCCATGCGAGCTTACTGGCCACTAGACAGTGCAGCAGCACTTAAAGCAGTAGTAAAAGCAACCCTAAACATTCATCCAAGACGCCGTTACAAGGCCTGGCAACTCGGATAACAACTTCTTGCTGCACAAATCGGCCGTCCTGCCCCCAGCGCCAGCTGTCGTACGGAGCTCTGTGCGGGTTTAGTTCGGACGTTAACAGGCAGGGTGTGGTTGAGGGTTGTTGGTTTCTTCAGGCAGTATTTCAAGGGCTTGGATGTCGGGGGTTGGGGTCTTCCGGTATTTCACGGGCAATTACAATGACAGCCGCCGTTGCGCAGTTCGGGCCGTCGACTGTATTTGTGTGGTACGACTCTGATCAGCCAATTCCGTGATGACAGGTTTCGGAAGGCTTGGGCCTTACTTGTATGGTGCGGCCTGATCAAGAAACACATTGTTATTATAATTATCATTATTATTATATAATAATAATAATAATAGTACTTGTATGATCAACAAACACACCCTCTTGGCTCGACTGCATGAGATTGTAGGTCGACTCCAGGTCGACTTTTTCCGCAGAAGCATGAAACGTCGGCACATGCTAAACCCCAAGACCGCGACCCCTCCCGTTCCCCATCGCAGGAAATCTGCAGGCCTCAACCCTTGAGTGAACAGCGACCTCCAAGCCTAAGGTCTTGCTAAGTCTGCCCAGGTCAAGAGCATTTCTGTAAGCTTGGAAGCTGGAAGCTCCTGGACCCCGCCAGGTCCTCCTGGCACCCCGCGCGCCGAAGATTGACGACAACACCCATTTCAGGCATCTGGAGGTCCTGAAACAGGCCCGGGTGCATCCAACGTTTGGCCTGGCAGGGGCTTGATGGCTTGATTACTGGACCCGGGCTTTTCTTGCTCGCAGTATTGAACAGAAGGGTGGCAAGCTGACGGGAATGACTCACCATGACCTCTTCACAGCTGATGACGATGACGTAGATAATGTTGGCAAATGATGCTGAGAAAGCAGCTGGTAGTGGTCATGAAGAATAATGATGATGACGATGATTACGATGACGATGGTGGTGATGATGATGATGGTGTTGATGATGGTGATGATGATGATGGTGATGGTGATGGTGATGGTGATGGTGATGGCGATGGTGATGGTGATGGTGACGATGATGGTGACGATGATGGTGATGGTGATGGTTATGGTGATGGTGATGGTGACGATGATGGTGACGATGATGGTGATGGTGATGTTTATGATGATGGGTAGTGGTTGGTGGTGGGTGGGGGGTGGGCTGGGGGTTGGGTGGGGGTTAGTGGCAGCTGGGGTGTGGTGGTGATGACGATGCCGCAGATACTGTCGCTGTTTTAGATGATGATTCTGAGGGTGGCGGGATGTGGAGGAGGAGGAGGATTATGCCGCTGCCGCTGCCGCTGCTGCTGCTGCTGCCGCCTGTGATGATGGTGAGCTTGTTGATGGAGAAGAAGACGATGATGTCGAGGGTGGTGATGCTACTGCTATGGATACAGATGATGGGGAAATTGAAGGTGTGTATGCGATGTCGATGGAGGTGGTGTCGATTTCGGTGAGGTCCTGCCATTGCGGGATGATGCTGACGATGGTCGTGATCGTATTGCTGCTGCTTCTGCTGCTGGTGATGATGATGATGACGATGATTATGAGGATGACGATGGCGAAGACGATGATGCTGCTCCTGCTGCTCATGAAGACGACGACGCGAGCATTGTGAGTTTCATCAGACCCACTCAGTCGCTGTGAACAGACATTTCCCGCTCAGTAGAATCAGCACTGCGGACAAAGTGTGTGTGCGTGTGTGTGTGTGTGTGTGTGAGCGCACAAGGCGTTCAGCGACATTGAAACTCGTCAATACGGTAATCAAGAGATTTGGTACATTGTCTGGCGCTGAGGCAGCTTTTACGAAATCCTGATCCTGCGCACCCTGAAGACGTGCACCGAAATGCCCTGAAGCCACTGGCTTTACTGCAATCCGCACAGACTAGAAGTATCTGGCTCAATAACTGGCACTAGTCTTCCTTTGTCATGTAGACATGTCAAGCCCGGAGTTGCCACTGCCCGAGCAGGCGAAGCGTCTGAGATCCTCCGGCAAGTCAGACTGGGAGATAGCCACCCGGCAAATCTCAGGCCCACGAAGAGCCCCACACCAGCAAAACAAAAGATGCGACGTCGCTTAACCAGTTGAATCCACATACTGTCACATACCTTCTTACCCTGTAGCACCCCGGAACCCCAAACGTCTTGAAACTTCAAACTCCCCGCCAAACCTTCGGAAGCAGTTCCATTTGGGGCTTCCGGTTTGGGCCCAGGGCTGAGGGTAGGATTTAGGGTTTTGGATTTCAACACCCACAGAGATGACAGGCGATCAGGATGGTTCATACTGGCCTTCCCTCTATAGGCTGTTTTTATCGTATGAGGACAGTGACTGTTCATGCAAAAGACTCTGTTTCTTGGGGCTATGTGCTTCGATCGGAGAAAATGCCTGCAGCCTTGACTTTTTGGAAGCTGTTGAAGAGTTGCAGGATCCATGACATCTCGAACGGGGAACACTTCGTTTCCAAGTAGTTCTCATGTTCTTTCCTACCTTCTATTCTTTTGCTTCGAACCCCAAACCTTCGAGATGCACCCGCGCCATACCGGCGTTGAATTTCCTGCTGACAGCAGTTTAGGGGGGAGCTCAGAAGACCTCGTCCGGCCCTTCCCGCACCACCTTGGACCATTCTACCTGGCATCCATATCTTTTTGTATTGCTTTTTCAGGGCCTTCGACCGGGGAACGGAGCTCTCTAACTGCTAGTGCTTTCACCCCCTCCTACAAGCCCCCAAACCGTGGGTGCGCCACTCGGCGAGGGGGGCCTATGACCGGGAGACAAGACACGACAAGACAAGAAAGAGAGAGATTGAGAGAGCGAAAGAGAGAGAGAGAGAGAACGAGAGAGAGAGAGAGAGATATATATATATATATGTATATATATATATACATATATATATATATATATGTATATGTAGGTATGTATAGAAATAGATGCACCATGTCTCAGCGATTTCAGCGCCAATGTTCGTCGTCAAACGGGCTTCTGTGTGGTTCCAAGGAAGCATACCTCAACAAGCTGCTTGAGAAGCAGCCGGAACCCCAGCGCTGCGAGCCGCAGGGTGCTATGCTCAAGTTCGGCTCTTCGTTCTTGTGATGCTGGTGGGGTCATCCTAAAACCCAAGGCTGATACCTGACAAGTCTTTGGCACAGTACTCGGGCTTTTATCCTCTGAGGCATTGCACCCTCCAATCTTCCGAGGCATAGACTCCGCAAGCAAACCCTTCATGCTGCCTTGTGCGACCCAGGTGGGAGGAGCGGGAAGCGCAGCGACCCCGAGAAGAAAAAAGTGAGGCAGCGGCTTCTTGGGAGTGGAATTGCAACCGTGGGTGCTGGTAGACTGCTTGAGTGCACAGGTTCAGTTTCATCTGTTGTTCTTAAGGTGTTGTATGCACGTCAATCTGAGCACACAGTTTCACGATCAGAAGCGCTTACTACATACCCAATGCAGACCGCGGCTCTAAACTGAAACTTGCAACAACGGGCGAACAAATACTGAAACCCTTGTTCTGACGCCAGAAAGTCCCACCTGCCCCAAAAAGCCCACCGCCCCAGAAAGTCCATAGCCCCAGCCACCTAATGCCTAACCCCCTATATCCAAGTGCTAGGACCCTGAAATGCAAAACTTCTGAACTTTGAATCCCGGAGGAGAAGCCGCCAAGACTCACCATCGACCTCATCCGGGCCTACCTTCAAAGAGAGGAGGGCAAGGCCATTTCCAAGATAGTCCGTTCGTCCTTCTTTCTGTACTCATGTGCGGAAATACCTGTGTAAATACGCAGATACATGCATACACAGATACATAGATACATACATACCTGCATGCATACATACATATGTACACATGTACATCTCTCTCTTCTATATATATATATATATATATTCAGACATGCACACACACATGCACACACTTACACTTGCCACTTACTCTCGCACATACACAAATATATATACACCCTTGCATGCATGCGTGCGTACGCACAAACATGCGGTTCAAGCATACATACATGCATACATACATGCATACCTACATGCATACATAGGTAGGTAGATAGGTAGGTAGAGAGACCCGACAGAGAGAAAGATAGGTAGGTCGATACAGAAGCATAGGTTGCTAGATAGACAGTGACAGATAGACAGATAGATAGATAGCTAGAAAGGTAGAAAGGTAGGCAGACGGACAGATAGATAGACAGATGCATATGTGTATGCTGCTCAGACCGCACCGCCTGCCTTCGATTAATCAGCTGCCCATCAGGGATCTTCGCATGAGGGCTGTGTGGGGGGTCCTTTCAGATTAGAGTGGGCTAGGGTTCGGACTCGAGGTTATTGTGTTGCAGTCGGGTTGATCTTGCTGCTTCAGTTGATCACGGCTTGCGTCAGCATCAACAGTGTTCATGACTTCGTGCTGGAAGTTAGCCGCAGTCCAAACCAGTACTGTACCGTCCGTGTCCTCTTTGCCTGTGTGGCAGGCCATCGGAAAGGCCTACTGAGTCAGTGTGTTGACCGCTACAGTAGCGGGCCACGACGTCTTGAGAGAGGTCTCAAGCACCTTGTCAATTTTTTGCACTGTCCCAGAATTGTGACCGAGGTCCTAGCATCCTGTGGTCAACCTACGCATGCGCGCCAGGGTATGGACTAGGGAAGTCAGACATGAAAAATCGGCCAGCAATAGGACCTAAGAAACTTAAAAAGTTTGTCGTTTTTTGGTAGGGCATCTGGTCGGCTTTTGCCGAGAGTGATTTTCAAGCAGTTCTCCATCTGCTCAAATTAGATTGCCTGTTTCACCCGTTGTGGCGAGAAGGTGCCACGGGGGCCATCAACCAGAGACAGCCAATCAAATGTTGGCTGTAAAAGAGGCCGTGGACCGTCGCCTCGAGACCTTTCGGGGGCTTCTTGGCCATAATACATAATATAATATAATATATAATATAATATAATATAATATATGGTATAATATAATATAATATAATATAAAGTTGCTTGCTCCACTCCAGGTTTCGTGGAAGCCCGCAGGCCCGGAACTCCGGTAGAACGGCTGAACACCTAACGAATCATTGCCGCCGCGGGAGGGGGGTGACTGGTGGTGGAGGCTGCAGTGGTGCTGCTGGTGCTGGTGATGGTGCTGGTGCTGGTGGTTTTCTTGGTTCTGCTTCTGGTGACCACTACTACGACGACAACTGAGTGTCGCTACGAGCATTCCCTTGTCAGTACTGTTGTCATGGACGCAATTGATACTTCTGCCCATTCCTTCGCTGCGAGCGTTGTGCGTCATGAAGCAATATGTAGTCTCTCATCAGCTCCCGAAGCCAGAGAAGTCCAAGATCGTCACCAAAAGATCACCCGTCAAAATCAAACCCACGACGTTATTTGCAACAGCGGAAATGATGGTTCAACAAATATTTGCCAGGGACATTCGCGCGATTCATACACAATGGTCTGGGCATCCATCAAACCATGTTCCAAGCCTGTCGGCACGTGATGCTCTCAGACCCTCAACCTACTGCACTGAAGCCTCAGCGCTCAACTGCAACGCCCGACATCCCAATCCCAAAAACCCAAACCACAAAACATCACAGTTCCAAAACTCGAAGACCCAAGCCTAAGAGCGACAACCCCGCCTCGGGCCACATGTGCCGGATGCGAGCAAACTCCGATAAGGGCTCCTTGGGCAAGAGAGGGATATCCAATTTTGATTTGAGATTAGGG